GTCGGACAGACAAGCTCGTCGGGCGAGGCCCCGAAAGCCGCTGTCAAGCAAGGGGGCAGCATGCGAAGGACCTGGCCGCAGCGAGGGGAAGCACAAGACAAAAGCAGCAACCAGGCGCACTGGAGGTCGGGGATGGTGCGGATGGCTTGCAACAAGGACTGGTTGGCATGGAGCTGGTGCAACTGAGCCGCAACATACTCTGGGTCGTCCAGCGGCGCCTGCAAGACAGTGATGCCGCGTTGGGCTGCCGAGAGGGAGGGGGTCGCTGCCTAGTGCCCGCATGTGGGGCGGATCTGGCAGTGTGTCTTCAAGGCTCGCAGACAAGGCATCGAACACGGGGCGCAAGCTCTTGTCATGCCAACGCAGAAAATGTGCGCTGCAGTTGGAGCGGATGAGCAGTGCAATTTTTTTCCATGCCCAAGGTGGACTCCCACTCACGGCGCGAGGCAAGGCTCCATGTATGCGTGCATAACGGTTGCTGAGCAAAACTTTGGATTTGCCAACAAAGCGGAAAGAGGCTGTATGATACCTTGCTGATCCACGCGTTCTGTCTTGGAGCATGCCGTCTATGCTGAGTTGTTCGTCGATGCGGCAGTAATCTATGAAAAGGTCGGGGAAGTCTTCGATTGCGTCAAAGGATGCATCCACTTTGCTGGAAAGCGACATGCCGTGTGAGAGGCAAAACACTGAAAGCTCAGGGGGTCAAGCGCCAGAAGCTGAACACCGGGTCAAGGCAAGGGCAGAGCCAGGGCGCCACCCCCAACATTGCAAAGCTCGGGTCTGGCCGCTTGCCTCTCAAGAGTCGAAGCGAACGCAGTCGGCGCAAGCCAAGGATCGTCAGCTGTGGCAAATGTGACCTTGGTCTTGCCGGAATGTACTGGTAGGAGATGAGGTCTTTCAAGGAGGCAACAACTCCATGTGGAGCAGGCGGGACGGATAGGCGCGGAACGAGTGTCATAAACAACGGCGGCCTCAGTCAGGCATGGCCACCGACTCCTCGCAACACAGCTTGGGGAACTGCTGTTGGGCCGCGTCGGACCGCCCAGATCGACACCTGGGACAAGAGAATGTTGCTGGTTGGCTCGCGCATGCGCAAGACAACCAAGATGTACAAGATGGCCACATGAACACGGTCTCTGGCCCACTCGCTGCCGGATGCTGCAGAGGCATACTGGGCAAGCATTTTGACCATATAGTGCTTGAGGTGGGGCGTCCCTCGCGTGCAAGAGTGAGGCACCCCCGCCACGGGCGTGTCATCGCCAAGGACCGGGGACGGACGCCAACGCACGGGTAGCAGGGCTGACAGCGGGGCCGGTCCCTCGCAACAGCGGACCGTTGATGATGGGCCCCCGACCGTTGTCGCGGGGTCGGTCCCCCCGTTTTTCTCTTCTTCTTTTTAAATCTCTCTGGGCTTGTTCCCAAATGCGTAGCGAAGGGTTCCCGTTATTAAGTGGGGTCTGGGGGTGTTCGCTGGTCGGCTCGCGTGTGGCCGAAAAGCGCCCGCAAGCGTTTGCATGTGGAAAAAGTTGCCGTGCCATTGGGATTGACCCAAAAAGTGACTTGTCGATGAGTCTTGGAGCGCTGAATTCATTGTGCCCGTGCGTGAATCGTGTCTGTTGCAGCGTTGCGTGTTATTTCGTTGCGCAGGCGCAGTGTTTTGGAAGGCTGCGTGTTCTCGTTGCCGTGCAATTGGGATTTGTGTTCCAGGGGTGGTCGTTTTGAGGTGGCAGGCGCGTGGTAGTGTTTGCGCCGGCGTCCTGTTCGTTGGCCCTGTCGTACAATCGGCTCGTTTTGGTGAGCTTGAAACGCGCCAAAATTGGTCGAAATCATTCTGGCGCCACAGTCCCGTGCTAGTTTTGGATGCGTGTCGTAAACGTGTCAAAGTTGGATTTCGTGGCCGGCGCAGCAGTTTCGATGATTTTGAGTTTGTGGCAAGCTTGCTTCTGCGTGACAGGCGCAGCACTTTCGAGCGTTTTGGTTGAATTTCGTGGCAGGCACGGCGCTTTGGAGCTTTTTGTGCAATTTCCGTGGCAGGCGCAGTACTTTGGCGCCTGGGTGCAGATTTCGTGGCAGGCACGTCACTTTGACTCAGCGAGATCGCTCTCGCTGTGGCGCGGTGCGCATTTTGAGAACCCTCTGCGCACTTTGGGTGGGTCGAATCGCTCTCGCTGTGGTGCGGTGCGCGTTTTGAGTGCGCCTGGGTGTAGATGTCGACCAGAAGTGTTGCTCAGAAAAGTCGATCAGAAAAAGTGTCGCTCAGAAGTGTTGCTCAAAAGTGTCGATCAGATAAAGTGTGGTTCAGAAGTGTTGATCAGGTGTCGCTCAAAAAGTTCGCTCAGAAGTGTCAATTGTTGCTCAGAAGTGTTGTTGAGAAGGGTTCCTCACAAGTGTCGGTCAGAAGTGTCGATCAGAAGTGTTGCTCAGAAGTGTCGCTCAAGAGTGTCAATTCAGCAGTGTTGCTCAGAAGCGTCGCTCAGACGTGTCAATGCAGCAGTGTGCTCAGAAGTGTCGTTCAGCAGTGTCGTTCAGAAGTGTCGATGAGCAGTGTGGCTCAGAAGTATTGGTCAGAAGTGTTGCTCAGAACTGTCGATGAGAAATTTCGATCAGAAGTGTTGCTCATCAGTGTCAATCAGAAGTGTGGTATCAAAAGTGTTGCTCAAAACTGTTGCTCACAAGTGTCGATCAGAAGTGTCGATCAGAAAAAGTGTGGTTCAGAAGTGTTGTTCAGGTGTCGGTCAAAATGGTCGCTCAGAAGTGTCAATCACAAGTGTCGATCAGAAAAAGTCTCGCTCAGAAGTGTTGCTCAGAAGTGTCGATCAGAAAAAGTGTGGTTCAGAAGTGTTGATCAGGTGTCGCTCAAAAGTGTCGCTCAGAGGTGTCAGTCAGAAGTTGTGCTCAGACGTGTCGCTCAGAAGTCTAGTACGCGCTGGAAAATCGCAACTTTGTAGTGCAAGTCTAGTGCGCGAAGTACAGGTTTCGAGCTCTAGCTTGGAAAATCGCAGCTTTGTAGCACAAGTGTAGCGCGCGAAGTATAGGTTTCTGGAAATCAAAACTTTGAAGTGCCAGTCTAGTGCACGAAGTACAGGTTTCCAGCTCCAGCTCGAAAATCGCAACTTTGTACTACCAGTCTAACGTCCAAAGTACAGGCTTCCAGCGCCAGCTGGAAAATCGCGACTTTGTAGTACAAGTCTAGTGCGCGAAGCACAGGTACGCGAAGTCCAGCTCTAGCTGCAAATCACAACCTTGTAGTAGAAGCCTAGCGCACGAAGTACAGGTTTCCAGCTCTAGCCGGAAAATCGTAACTTTGACAAGTCTGGTACGCGAAGTACGGGTTTCCAGCTCCAGCTGGAAATTCTGACTTTGTTGTACAAGTCTAGTACGCGAAGTACAGGTTTCTAGCTCTAGCTGGAAAATCGCGACTTTGTAGTACAAGTCTAGTACGCGAAGTGCAGGGTTCTAGATCTAGCTGGAAAATCGCGACATTGTAGTACAAGTCTAGCACGCGAAGTGCAGGGTTCTAGCTCTAGCTGGAAAATCGCGACTTTGTAGTACAAGTCTACTGCGCAAAGTACAGGTTTCCAGCTCCAGCTGTAAAATCGCAACTTTGTAGTACCAGCACTAGCTGGAAAGTCACAACTTTGTAGTGCACGTATAGTACGTGAAGTACAAGTTTCCAGCTCTGGCTGGAAGATCGCAACTTTGCAGTGCAAGTATAATACGCGAAGTACAGGTTTTGAGCTCCAGCTTGAAAATCACAACTTTTGTAGTACAAGTCCAGTACGCAAAGTACAGGTTTTCAGCTCTAGCTGGACAATCGCAGCTGTGTGGCGCAAGTCTAGTGCGCGAAGTACCAGCTCCGGGTGGAAAATCGCAGCTTTGTAGTGCAAGCGCGCGAAGCGCAGGTGTCCAGCTCCAGACTGAAAATGGCAGCTTTGCAGCAACAAGTGGAGCATGCAAAGTGCAGTTTTACAAGCTGAAAAACATATTTTGCGCAGTAGGCTTGATTGCGAGCCCCATTGGCTTATACCGAAAAATGTTCTCAAGTATTTTCTTCGGTTTGCGCAAAGTGATGTGCATTCGGGTTCGTGGGCTCTAGTTTTTTTTGTTTTTGCCTGGCCTCCGGGGAGGTCTTGTTCAAGTGCTGTTTTTTCACTTGGACATCCAGGGACAGAGTTCTTGCACGTTGCTCTGTGCAAGTTTGCGTCTCCGCAAGACGCTCGGCGCTTGTATCTGTGCGCAAGATGCTCAGCCTGAGCTGAGTTGTGGAGGTGCTCCGCGCGCTATACGTCTGCGCTTCAGGGTTGCGAGTTTCCGGTCGGAGCCGCCAGGAGTACACTCCACAATACTACGGCTTCTTTGCTTGAGCCGGAGCTGCTGCGGACCAGGGGGGAATTGCTTTCGCAACCGCGCGATTGCGAAAGCAGGCGCGCAAACCACGAGACAACTTCCAGCCATTCGCGAGTAATAAAATCGCACGGCGCCGCAGCGAGAGCGCTTCGACACGCTCTCCTCAGAGGGTTTGCCGAGACTAACACGAATTCGCACGGCGCCACAGCGAGAGCGCGTCGACACGAACGATCCCCGCAGAGTGTTCATCCGGGAATGTCAAAAACACAAAAAACCTTGGGTTGCGCGGGCACCGACAAAAACGCAACAAAAAAAAAACAAAAACTCGAGTTTTTGCATCTCGCGGATCCCCGCAGAGGGTCGCGCGGGCAGATCAGAAATCGCAAAAAACCGCCTCGACCTTGCCGATCCCCGCAGAGGGTTCATCCGCGCACTGCAAAAACGCCAAAAACCTCGCGTTTTTGCCACAATGAGGGTTTGCTGCTGCTTGCTCATGCGTGGTGTCCTCCATGTGGTCAATGAACCATGGGCAATCGCACAGAAGGGGGGAACCAATTAAGCTTAGTCAGTTGCAAATCTAGCTGCCAACGAGAAAGCGCAAGCAAGTGAGGCATGAAGAACGACCAAGGAACAAAAGAAGCAAAGACGGAGCAAATCGAAAACGGGTCGGGTGTCCCTTATCATGCCATGGCCACCCTGAGAGCTGTGCTATCTGCGCACCATGGCCTGGGCTACCTGGTGCTCGCCTCGGGAACTCGTGTCGCTTTGACGTCTTTTGCTTCCTGTACCTGAGCTTCTGTTTGCTTCTGTTTTTTCTTCTTGTGTCTTGTTGCTTCTGTCGCTTCTTTTTTGCATCTTTTTGCATTGTGTTGCTTCCGTTTGATTGTGATGGCTTCTGTTTGCTTCTGCTTGTTTCTGTTGCTTCGGTTAGTTTATGTTCGCTTTGCTTTGCTGCTGTTGGTTTCTGTTTGCTTATGTTTGCTTCGTTTTTGCTTTTGTTTGTTTTTGCGTGCTTTTGTTTGCTTTTGCTTGCATTTGTTTGTTCCTGTTTGCTTCTGGTTGTTTGCTTTTGCATCTGTTTGTGTTTGTGTTTGTCTGTTTCCATTTGTTTCTGTTTGTTTTTTTTCACTTCTGTTTGTTTCTATTTGCTTTTCTTTGCTTCTGTATCTTTTGCTTCTGTTGGTCTGGTTCGTTTTTGTTTGTGTTGTGTGGGGCGCTGTGGAGGCTGGCTTTTTTCAGTGACATTTGTGTTCTTTTCTCACGAAAAAAACAGAGTTTGTCGTGTAGCAGAAAATGTCAGTGTTCCAGCGTGTTTTCCATGAACAAAACGTGTAAGACTTTCTTGGGCTTGGGCTGACCATAAGAAATTTGCTTCTCACAAACTGTGTTGGTGAAGCATATCAGCCATTGCATGCTATCAGTTTGCATGGGAGCTAGATCTGATGATGTAGAACACTTCACTTCACACGTCTCCCTCCTCACATTTCCTGATGTGCTGGCCAGAGAGCTAGGAATCTTCATTTGTTAGGTTTGGGACCCTCATGATCACAACTGTCACGCCCCTGTGAGCTACAGTCATGCAAAGTGGAAATCCAAGGCACAACACGGATCCAACGGGAAAAACCAAGCCGCTCACCATCAAGACTGAACCGTGGAGATTGCGCATGGAGTATTATTCCCTCACCTGCCATATTAGTTTTTTGCGCCGTTGGTTTGCATGTGCACCAGAGGGCTTTCAGCGCCCTACAGTCTTCTAACAGAACTGGTACAGCCGACGGTCGGCTGGCCACTTGCAGTTGCCGGCCTCACCCCTCACACGTCCTAATGTCTGTTACGCTCGGCCATGATAAGCACACCTGCTCCGCTGCGTCCGCAGCCAGCCAGACAAAGCGCTTGCGCCTGCGTGTACGGCTTGTGGTGGCTCAAGTTTGGTTGGCCGGGGCAATATGGTCAGCTTTTCCGAGCCTGAATGCACTGATGCGTTGGCAGAAACTTCACGCAGGGAGCGCAACTGCTTGTGTGTGTCTTTCGCACGATGGAAGATGGGTTTGTGCCAAAACGCTGCTTCCAAAAGCAGGTGCGGACTCAAACGAACAAGTCGGCGCTGCTCAAGACGCAGGCGAAACGCAGTTTCCATCGAAAACAGGTGTAGCTTTTGACCGCCCACACCCTCATTTCGTATCATAGAACATAGTGCTTTGCTGATTCCCGCTGGGGAGGTGTGTATTTTCATTGCGGCCGCTGTGCGGGTACCACTTTTCCACCCGCAGACGAAGACGAATTACGAAGACGAATTCAACATTAGAACGATGCACGAAAAGTAAAAGTAGCGAAGACGAATTACCCCCCGAAGACGAATTCCGAAGACGAATTGTCCGAAGACGAATTCCCACCCGAAGACGAATTGCCCCCCGAAGACGAATTGTTCGAAGACGAATTCCCACCGAAGACGAATTACCCCCCGAAGACGACTTCCGAAGACGAATTGTCCGAAGACGAATTCCCACCCGAAGACGACCACCCGAAGACGAATTACCCCCCGAAGACGCATTCCGAAGACGAATTGTCCGAAGACGAATTCTCACCCGAAGACGAATTCGCGCTAGGGGGGAGCACAAGATGCTCATATTTGGCTCTAAATCGAAGGCAATGAAACGAATCGTTTTTGCAATTGCTGGAGGGTAAGTGTGCCACGCCGTGGACGTGGTAACCGCAGGGTCACAACAAGCAGCCTGACAGACTTGGCAGACACCAAGCTTGATTGACAGAACAGCAAGAGGGCTTAACTTAACCGATATTCAGCTACAAGTAGAAAAGCGCAAGTGAGACAAACAAGCGGCAAAAAAACACGACCATCACCAAGAGACATCTTGAAAGCAAAAGCGAGCACCCCTATAGTCGACATATCTTTTTGAAGCTTCTGCCCACCGGCTTCGCCGGCTCTGTTGGCATTTGCAGGCTCCAGATGGGAGCCAACAAGTGGCATGCAATTTTGAAACATGCCCGCCCAGCCCGCGCCACTGAGTCTGCCAAGTGGAGCGTTTGGCAGGTCAGGAACACCAGCTGCTTTGGCCGTTTCTGCAGTTGTTCATTCTTCGATGAAGCAATTGCTCAGTGGCCCCCTTGCCCTCTTGGTAAACCATGGGTTTCCCGAAAACACAAGAAATTGCGTTCCCTCTTCAGCTTGGACTTTGAAAGGTGTGCTGTTTGGCCCCAGGACTGTCAGTTGCCCTTCGGGCGCTGAACGTTGTACACATGCACCGTGACAGAACATGCTCCATCCACACAAATTGCCACCACATGTGCGCAGCAAAGCTTTGCACACTAAGCTTTCCAAGAGTTCTTGCCCATGGCTCTGCTTCTTCTGCCCATGATACCCAGCACAGACACATCTGAGCTGCCAGAATGTTTCAGAACCTTGCTGGCCCAAAATACACACCGGCGGTGGCTCGTGGCTCCTGTAACAACTGCTGCTGGTAGCGACATGACCCTCCTGCTGCTACAGGGTTCTACCGAAGAAGGCGCCCAACCTGCGCCCTTCAACAATGGTTTTTCAGTTGCCGTGCCATTGGCCCAGTTTCCGGCCTCTGTCGAGCCTGCTTCTGAACCGCACGAGCCCATGCAGCTCAGTGATGTCAATTCAGTTGACGTTGCGCAAGCTGCCATTGAAGGGCTTGATTTTGTGCTGGGCCAAATGACCGGGCCCCGAAGTGATGGGAGGAGGCGACGGAGATAGCTCACCCAAGTGCGAAAAGATTGTGTGGCTCTGAAAAATAGGTGGGAAGATCGCTCGGCAATGTCCATGGTTTGGAGTTCAAACCTGGGTCAAACATATTGATTCAGCGTTCTCTGCAGCTGACCCTCCTTCCACGGTAGCGCTTGACTTGCTGCGGTCTTTTTTGCGGAAGTCGATGCAAACAGCAGTGCAAATCCAGGCTGTGAAGGGGATCCACACTGCAGCACTAACGCGGGGACAAAGCGCCCTCAAGCTTTACATTCCTCAAGGCCAAATTGATCAAAGTGCCTACGACCTCCAGACTTTCAAGAACCACATTGTTTGGGTCACAACTGAGTCCCGCCTCGGGAATGACAACAGGGCTGGGGAGGCAGGAGATTTTTTTTGGTCAGCTCCTCGAGCCTCAGCCTGACAAGACAGAGCTTGCTCCCGAAGCAAACGAACTTCTTCGACAACACAGAGGCTGAAGAGGTGCCAGTTATTGTCGTTGTAGCTGCGAGCATGCATGGGCATGTGTTCAGTTACAACTGTTTCAAAGAAGCTGCTCGCAAATGTGAGGAGAATTTTCGCACAGATATGCAATCCCTTGCTGCCAGCTCATGTTCTGCGCCTACCCAAGCCCCTAATTCAACCAACTTGCAGGCTTTGCGGCGCTGGCTCACTCTCGGTTGCCCTCCGGGCGCCGAAAACATAAACCTTGGAACTCATGGCTTGCTGTCGCAGGAACAAATGGCTGCATGCGTTGCAATCTCCAATGCAATCCTCTCTGTAGTCGATTGCATTGCAGGCGCAGGCAAAACCAACATCATAGCTACGCTGGTTGCTGCGCAAGTGCCTACACTGCAGCAAGGAGAATACCTTGCGGTGGTGACAAGAGGACAAGGTGCACCAATGCTGCAGAAACAACGGCCACCCACCATAGGTGGCGTGGAGGGTGGGGTCCATGGACAGAGGCTTGGCGCACCCACGCAGTATTACACATCCATTTGTTTTTGCGTGTCTACCAGGCGCAGGCAGACACCCGCAACAGAAGCGTGGAAGACTTGAAGGTCCTGGTGTGCGCAACAGACTTCTTTCGCAAGCTACTTGGACAATCCGGGGAATGGTCGCGAGCATTCATCAATAAAGCATTGAAGTTCTTGTACATTGACGAAGCCCACCAAGAGCCTTTTCTGAACATGTCGGCAATGCTGTCTGTTGCCCCTCGTGCCGCTCTTTTTGGAGATACATCAAAGCTACCCAAGCAGGAGATATGGGAACTGAGTCTTCATTCCAATGGGTTACGAGGATGAAGCTGCAGACCATCAACTTGCCTGTGAGTTTCCGCTTGGGGCCGGCAATCACAGCAGCTCTGCGCGCCACCAACGATTACCCGAACGCTGAAAGTTCACCGTCCGCTCCAAGAACTGCCCTGTTGCCTTTGCTGTTCCTACCAACGACTGCACCGCAGTGCAGGCCGGGAGATCTACATGGTCCCGCTCATGTACACGCACCTGATTTGCTGCATTTGCGTGGAGATTTGCATGGCGTGCCATCAAGAAACCTATGGAACTGTTGGGGTCATTGTGTACTACTCCGTACAGAAGCGGTTCCTTGAAGCCCACCTCATCGACTCTTGCTTGTCATGCGTCGACGCTATTGCAGAATGGCTTGGGGTTGTGGTGACGGGAGCTTGCTGCGAGGTATTCTTTGTTTTCTTCCTGGAGGAGTGGGAGGCTCAGAGTTTGCTGTGACATTTCTGGTCGTTCCCCGGTCAGCTGCGGATACCACCTATCGAGGCACGCATTTGCTTTCCCCAGCCTGGAGGTACATTGGCTTAACACGTGCCACACTACGAAGCTGGGTCTTGTTGGAAGTGCTGCAGCAAGACCCAAGCCATCGCAGCCAAGACCGCAAAGCGCAGCAGTGGCAACACTTTGTGCAGCATTGCGCCGATGAGGTTTGGAGGCAGCTTGGTGTGGAGCACTCCTATTTCCTCACTGATAAGGATGCGTGGGCCAGT